CCTGCACTGGAGCAAAAACGGCTGAAGCAGCACTGGCTTTGTGCCCACACACATTAGTTAGAAGACAAGACCCTTCTAAAAGTTCCGAACAAAAGACCTGAGTGTCACAATGACTGAATCAGCTTGGGTAAGTGCTGAGGACTATCAGAGTCCAGACAATGGGCCAGAAAGAGCCAGAGGCAGACTGGTGGGGTCCTGAACCAATCACAGGACATAGTTCCAGGAGGAAGTTTACACAGATGGCTTTAGAAAGTAGGAAACCTGATCCCTGACCAATGTCATCTACTTCTGGTAATTTTCTGGAAATTCAAATGCTTAGGGCCCTAACACCAACCTGCTCAATCAAAAACACTGGGTGTGGGGACTTCCAAGATCTGTATCTAAGCAGGCCTTTCAAGTGCTTCTGATGCAAACTGAAATGTGTGACCCGCTGCTTACCATCAGGTTCTGTTTGTGAGACAGAAGAGTGAACCCTATGTGTTTCACCAGGCCGCGACACAGTAAGAAAATGCTGCAATGGAGGCCTGGGACGTTAGCATCACAATATTTCAGAAGGGGATGGTTCTTTTCAATGGTGATGCTGAGGTTGTCCAGATCAGCGCTACAGATTATCGAACTGTTTTACATATGACTTCAGAGGCCCATCTTTATTAGTGTAATGGCCTTAAAGAAAAGGAAATGACAAGCATTAACCTTAGCATTTTCTGTCCTAACTGACTCCCTTTGGGGAAACTGGAGAAATGTATACATATTTGACAGAAGCAAAGCTCCTTAGCATTAAAAAACTGCACTGAAGAAGTCATTCTTTCAGAGTTTCCTAATCATGAACTAGAATCAAGTTACAGATATGGATTCCTGGGCTTTGCCCTTGACCCAGTGAATCTGAATCTCCAAGGGGGCTAGGAGTCTATACTGAGAACAGCAGTGTCTTCCTCTCCTTTCTTTATCCTACTGCCCCACTACCAGGGTTTTTAATTTTTCTTCATCTAATATTATTCTATCCTGCCTGCCAAATAAGTTACTCTTCATTCCACTGCCAGAGTACCCTTGTGAAAGAAATGAGTTGTCGGGTGTCTAAACAAAGTTTATCCTAAGGCCACGCACGCTTCAATAAAACCGAAAGCCTTTCTTCTTTCTGCCTTCTTTCCCTTGAAGCATCCTGAATCCTCTGCTTCCCATCATTAGTCCTCTTGAACCTCCGGACCATCTTGCATCCTTGCACTGCCTGGAACACACGGGCTTCCTTCCCTCTTCCCAGTATATTAGCTGGACAAATGATCGCTTATGGCACATTGATAAAGCTCAATAAACAATGACAACAAAGTTTATCTTTTACTTGCTCTATGTCAAAAGTTGGCAAGTTGTTCTTCTCTAAAGGGCTAGATATTTTTGACATTAAAAGCAATATACTCTCTACTTTTTCTTTCTCCTCCTCCCCTTCCTTTTTTGTGCAATATTGCATAAATATAAAAATCATTCTTATTTAAAGGCTATTATACAAAAACAAGCTCCTGGGTAGATTTGGCCCACAGACCCTCGTCTGCTGTATGTGACCACTGCCAGAGACATGCAGAGAGCAGGGAGATATGCGTATACTCAAATGAGGAGTTGTGAGTGAGTCTGCTCATTCAGTCACCTGGGCTAATGGAGCAGCCACTTCTCAAATGTTTCTTGTCACGATGCAGACAAAAAGATGATGCACACAAGCAACTAAATGCCCCAGTGCAACAGCAGCTCCTGAAACTTGTTCACAAATCGGCCAAAGTTAGTCTCTCAATGCACCCAACTGTAAGGGGGCCAGGGAGTGCAAACCCACAATGTGTCAAGAAGTACGGAGAATTTGAATTGCTTGGTAAACATGAGAAGTTCACTCTGCTCAGAGAAAAACACTCTAGAAAGCTTTTTCCGATACCCGTACTCTTCGGCCAGATGAGCTGCCCTTCTGTTGTCGCATTGTGTGTGTGTGTGTGTGTGTATGTGTGTGTGGCACTGAAGATTAAATTTAGGACCCATTTCATACAGTGAGACAAGTGCTCTACCACTAAATGATGCTTCCAGCCCCACTCCTATAAAACTATAATCATAGCACCTTCTCTGGATCAGAGCACCATACATGGGGCACTGTAATCACCTATGTAGACGCTCCCTAAGGTTCTATTCAATCACTAGTGGCCTCAGAAAAGTGTCTATATGCTAACTTGTATAGCATCTGCCTCCCCTAGATGGTCGGTGTGTGCTGCTTCAACAAAGAAACAAATATGGCAGACTGGGAGCAAGTAAGATTGCCTATATATTTACTAACCACTTCCGGAAGCTAGCAGTGTCAGCCCCTTCCAGCCCCGTCAGTTCAAGCACATGAATCACTCTTCAAGACTCACTTACTCTTTCAGTTACTGGTTATTTTCCATATCAAACAAAGTCTTCCTCCTCCATATAGCACTTTTTTGTCTACTAGTCGACCCTTTGCTTCAAGAACTGCCTCTTGAAGCCATGGGACACTGCGACATTATGTGCGTTGCTTTTGCTCCCAGTTTACCAGCCAGAAGGCAAGCACGGAGAAGACCAGTGACTTTCTCCAAGTCACACAGCCGATCATACATTGTATGAAAGTTGTTCTTCCTTTCAATTGAACAAACAAACAAAAAAAAGCTGCAGGATTGAAACACAGAGGTGCAGCTCAGTTTGCCAACAGTTTATTTATGCTAGAAAGCATAATACATGTTTGTCAAAGATAAATCTCATTGTGTCATATCAGTATTTAGCTTGTAGTATACTTTTCCCTGAGTGAAATGTTAAAAACAAACCACATGACTGCTTACTAATGCCATGCCTTTTCATACTGATTTCACCCCTTTCCTCTTTTGTCTTCTGTAAAGCTTTTCAGAACCCAAGAACACTGGCCCTGAGGCTTGACCCTCTCACCTCAGTACCTGGGAAGTGAAACACACTGACTTGCATTTGCACTACGGCACAGCACACATTTCACCTGTTTCACATGCAACATGTGTGTAGCAGCAGCAGTTTCTGTCCACCATATAACCACGGGGTCCGTCTCCTGGGTCAAGATGGCTCTTAAATAAATATCCCCTCTGACAAATGCCCAGGAGAACCAGGGCAAGGAGAACACAGCTGGGAGGTAATTCTTCCTCAGATCACAGGCAGAAAACAGCCAGGACACAGTATTATTGAAGTCTGCTACGACTGAGCTGATCAAGATAAAAGCGAATTCTAAAAAATATATTTATAAATGATTTTTACAAAGAGAAATAGTTCAGTATACCCCGCCTCTCTTGTTAGCTGCTTAACAGACCACAGTAGACGATTCCTTTTTCCCCTTGGGCAGAGGAAAGGGTGCAAGAAAACTAAAGTACACAAAGACCCAATTATAGGCTCAGGCATTGTCAAGCACAAAGCAAAAACCACTCATTCCTAGGAGTGTTGCCTTTGCTTCCTTTTTTTCTTTCTCTAAGCCTTGCCACTGAATAAAAGTATATCAAGAATAAATCTAAGGGGCCCCCCAAACCAGAAAAGGTTAAGCTTTTAATTATAGGCCCTCAAACTATCATTTTGTGCAATTAGCAATTATCTATAATCGGTGATGAGAGAATGCAGAACTGCGCTAGCAAACTGCCTCCTCCTCATCCCAGACTGGGTTATTTTAGTCTTCTTCTGTTTCAGAGAAGCCACAACCGCGCGCGCTCCCCGGCTCCCTCACGCACGCACTCCTTCACTTAGACACATCTAAATTTTAGCAAAATGGTATCTCAGCCTCCGACAGAGATGGGCACCCCAAGCCAGCACCAGAGGTTCAGACGCCCTGCTCTTCACTTTCCGGTTGGAGAGGCCCAAGGAAGACGCTACCTACCGGCCTCACAGTACCAGCCTCTCTTAAGGGTGCGGGAGAGGGCGGTACAAAG